AAAAAATGTTAACATTTCCTCCTATATACATCCAGCTGTTTTCTCAAGTTACTGATCCCCCAGGGCCTCTCATGTGCTAAGCTAGAGCTCTACTACTGAGCTACATCCCCAGCCTAGGTGTTGGTTTGGTTCTGCTTTAGTAGGTAAGGAGGATTTCTTAGCTGTATACTGAAAGATTGGACCCTTAGTAGTTGATGGAGGCAGTAGAGCCCTCCAGATCCATCCTGCCAGCCTGATCACAGAGGGTTGGCCCTGGAGAGGAGCTGCCAGACCTTCAACACCAGCCCGCCCCGCAGCCCTGAAGAGCAGCTCCTCTGCTCAGAGAGGGGAGGAACACGAGAGCTTCTATCAAAAGACCAGCAGAAGACAGCCAGGCCGGGGGCAGGGCTCCTGGAGCCCAGGGCCAATGCCACTGCACTGTCCTATGTAAGGGTGACTCTGCCCCAGGGAGAGGTCCCACCTGCTTTGGGCTCCCGGGCTCCTCAGGCTCCTCGGGCTCCAGGGTAGCCCTGGGGGATGCAGCCTCTGGTAGTTCTACGGCCACCTGTGCATCTGCATCATCCATGTTCCCAGTGCTGAGCACTGGACCTCCTGGAGCAGTGCCTGGGCAGGGAACAAAAGACCAGTGAGCCCAGGAGCCAGAGTACAGACACCAAGGGGGTTGCCTTAGATGGTGCAGGGAGCCCAAAAGGTCCCCCTTCTTGGCCTCATCACTGTATATGGAGACCACAGCAGGGCCTAACACTCTGTCTCAATGGTGTTCACCTTAATTCTTAGCAAAATTCCTCTTCCCATGATGCCCAGAGGAGACCCAGGAGAACACCGAGAGGGCGGTGGCTGAGGCCCAGTGAGCAGCCAACCACAAGTCTCTCTGTTCCCACCACAGGCAGGGACCTGGCAGTGTGAGCTAGGAAGCTGAGAGCGGCCCACCCCGGCCTGTCCACCCAGCCTGCCACCCCGGCCCCTCCTCAGCGTGTCAGTCCCTGCTCACCTGGCTCCTCCTGGCAGAACCCAAGCACAGAGTCAGGACTGCTGCACCCAGAGACTTCCATTGGCTGCTCTTCAGCCCTCCTGGCATCTGGGAGAGATGGGGAGTAGACAGCGTCCCTACCTAGTACCCAGCAAGCCCCTCCAGGTGGCTAGCAAAGGGCAGAGCACCAGCAGGCCCCAGGCCCGAAACTGAGGCCAGCTGTGACCTCAACAGCTGGCAATCAAGTCACAGAAAAGATGAGAGGGACAAGCTCCAGCCAGCACGTCCACTAGGAAGCAGACACCCAGGGAAAGGCAGCTCCTATAACCAAAGCTGGTAAGCACAGGATACCTGACAGGAGCCCCTCAAAAGATCTTTGACACATTCCTTCCCGCCAAGTCCCCCATACCCAAAACTTCACCCTTCTGACTCTCTGGCATGAGGCACAGGCCAACTGGCTCCAACATGAAGGCCCCTCTTGGGTGGGGGGTGCAGGTGTTCATCCTGAAGTCTTTCCGGCTGGCCAGGACCTCACCCTGACAGCTGTACTGGCAAAACAGGCCTGCTGTAGAGACTCTTCTGAAGCAGGCCTCCTGCCTCTATATAGCTGGGCTTGGCACATACCTGTACAGGGGGCAGTTGTTCTTCTCCACTTCATCGGGGGCCACCAGGGCCATGGGCAGGAGGGGGATGATGAGCAGTTCCTGTGGGCCAGCCAGGGGTTGGGACTGAGCTGTGCAATACCACCCTCCACACTCAGCTAGATTAACATGGCCCAGCCCAACCAACAGGGCAGATACTCACGCTGGGAGCCTGGTCACTCCTCAGATCCACATTGGCCCGGGACTCGGGGAAGTTGTCCAGTGACAGAAACTGTGGGAGACAGCGAGAACTCACAGCAAGAGCACAGGCAGGCACATGGGACAGGGGCCATGAGTCCACTTACCTCATCCTCTGCCTCATGTAGTGCCCTGGAGTTGGAAGCCCCACTAACCCCATCTTCCTGCACTGAAGAGAGTTGCTTGGCCCGCCTGAGAGAGAGAATACCCATGGGCATCCAGGAGGCTGCAAGGCAAAGGCCTCTGCCTCCCACTGTGCCTCCAATACTCACCGCTTGCCAGAAATGAAGTCAAGAGCCTGGTAGACCAGTGAG